GCTATAAACATAAATGGACTATTCTGTGGATGGAGAAAAAGAGAAATATTTATGATAACTTCAGCATATGTATAACGTGGTAGCTTTATCGCCATCCAGAGCAACTTATTCACCTACTGCTAGCTTGTATGAAATCGCTATCCGCCAATTACATTGCTTACAGACCTAAGTTACATTAATTCACTTGCGGTACCGGTAGCTCGGTTCTTACTCTGCACTGGATTGCAGTAGAATCCCTTTCAAACCGTCTTTGGGGAATCGAAGGTTGTTGGTGTGGCAACAAGAGCAGGTCCCGCTCACAAATGCTCAGGGAACTTCGGTGAGTTGTGACGGGTGCACTTTTCCCCTCAGCTTCATCATAACACATCCAGCAGTCTAGCTTTTTCACCGATCAACGACTTTCATATCAATCAGTCTCCATACCAGAACACTCCCCCCTTCTATTTTTGTGTGCGAAATATCTCGGATCCTGCTTTACACCCTACCGTACGTTTGATCCTCGCTATTCGTGCGGGTCCCGCCCATACTGGTGTCTGGAGCTTAGTGTTGGCGTATTGCAGGGCGATTAGAGTGTCGGTCCAAGTCAAGAGCTGCGGTATTAGGAAGATCGGAAAGAGGCAGATGAAGAAAGCGGAACGGTACTAGTACAGGATACAAGTCAGGAAAGAAGTGTACGTGCTGAGTAAAGTGTGGCCCTTGCACTGAGAGTAATTTTGGGTTGTAGCTAGTGTTCCCCGGAAAAATCCCTAAAACTAACTTTTATAGTACCGAACGTCAGAGCTCTAGCAAGAATAATTCCCGATCGCGCCTAAGGCCTACTCAAGTGCTTTAGAGAAACAAGCCAATAGTTGCTCCCCAATATACAAGAAAATTCGCTTTCGGGACGACCGCGACGATAGGTTCAGTGCAAGCCAAGAGTTCCGGCCTCCCGATAGCCCAACGGACTGCCTCAGGCTGATAGTACTTATGGTTTCTTTTCGCACCATCTATGCTTGTAAAATTGAGGTTGTGGTGTATGGGGGTAGGGTTGTGCTCCCATTCACTCACGAATCAGTGCCAACCATATAAACAAGTCTTCTGCCACATCGGCAGATCCTCAGGTGGACTGAGGTACATGCTGCATCTTACCGCAAAAGAGAATAGACCTTCCAGAAAAGTGGACTCGGAGGCCGAGAGTAAGCGAAGATATCGTTATTAAAGCATTAAGGCACGCTCGGCATCTGCACGATCCTCAACTGAAGACAATATTACCCAAGCGCATCCATAGGCTACAATATAAATTCTTACCAAGAGGGATACACATATTGTAAAGCCAGCATTTGAGACAAGAGACCCCGTAAGAGAGACATATACGTTGCATTCCACAAGTCAACTGCGGGACACCATTCCCTCGGGATCACTAACTTAATCCTCCCCTCACACGAACCTCTGATTTCAACCTTTCTTCGCCCCCGAAGGGCGTACCAGCTCTATCTATAAATTCCTTGCTTCGGCGTATATATCTGAGAGACAGTAATATCTCTTCCTTCCTCCAGACCTCCCACCTCCACAATTCCTTATTCAGAACGAGACGCTATAGGGGTGATAGCCGGAGCTCACTTGGAGTGCTCATTAATGTGTTGTTTTCCCTTGCGCTTAAGATACATTTCTGGCTTGCGCAGACACTCGTCCACAGTGTTCATGATCTGGGACTCTCTTAATTGCAATTAGGCAGCGCGGTTCTGGGCAGTGGGAGGAAAGTAGGGCCGTGGCAGAGTGAAACGGCCGAGAAACTTTCTTTAAAAATAAGTCAAAAATCAAGTCACAATTGAACAGTAAGAACTAAGAATTAGCTTGCACAAGGCTAAATGAGGTACGAGTTGGCCACTGGGTGGCATGTGGAATGAGGTGACAGCCCAATGGTACCAGATAGACGGCTTCCTTTCTTGTCGTGATTCCACCTCACCATGCCACCGCAGATCTCTCAGACACGACCAAACAGCACAAGATACCATAGAAACCCGGTCTAGCGCCTTTGCAAAATGCCACAGAGCCGGCCATAAAAAAATATCAAAAATTGACACTTCCCCCAACTTTACACAACATGAAGAACCTCACCGATCCCCACTTATGGTGCCGACCACGTCTTTGAGCGGCTGTGATTTTAGGCTTTGGGCTAGAATAGGTTTAAAATCTGGGGCACCGAATATGCCTACTAAGTGGGTAGGAGCTGGAGATTTTCAAACCCTCATCCCATCTGAAACACGCATACTGCAGGACGGAGAGGGGTATTTTTGTGTAACTTTGACAACTCCCGCAAAATTGCCCAGGACGGCGAAGAATCCGGGATAACAATGCGCGACTTTAGATACGTGATGCTGATAGCTGAGAGGGTGTAACGGGACAAGGAACGTTATCAGGTGATAGGGTTTAACATGCCCAGACACGGCAGCCCGTACAACTATGATTCTGTCCAGGAATATGATGTGATAATTTGAGAAACTAGGGCGATGTTCGGGAGCGTTACCATAGCAAAAGGCCCTTCTCAGTCGTGTGTCGTTTTACCTTTGAATTGCTTTTCGGCTGCTCTGTGTTGGATACCCCGGATTTCAGAACAATTGACCACTATCAGAAGGAAGGGCAAGGATAAGAGTGGACTAATCGACCTAGACGCTGGAACGATCGTTGTAGGGACCAAAAAAGGAACCAATAAATGAACTTTAGGGGTAGGCATTTTCTCCAGGCAGCTTAATGATTTGGGACATATTTCACCAGTGCCCCGGCCACGTGATTGTACGTACTGTACCTAGTCCACAAATTTTTCATTCTTCTGCAGGTATCCACAGTACCACACAATGGGAATATCCCCACCATGAAACACACAATATAACATTAAACCCAGGCGGTTCCAATCCAATATTCCAATAAAAATGTTGAATATATTGTTATTCATGTTTAACAAACCTTTTCTTCCCCGGTGCCTCATGTATTACCTTCTTGTCATATATTATTCCTCTATGTTGGGTTGCATTCATTTCGGTGATTGGGAGGTTTTTATTGGACACCGGTTATTCGGCGGCTAAGTCGCGAAGGTTGGGTATCTTTTTGAGTATACTCGTATCGGTGTAATTATGCCTTAGGAGCTGACGGTAAGCAACAGGTTTCCCCTGCTGATGGATAAGGCCATTGCCGCCCTCTATATATGTTCGGGCATTAGACCTTACCTTTAGTTTCCCCGGAGTTATCCAAGTCGTTCGACTTCAAGTGTCCAAAAAAAAAAAAAGTACTGCAATCCTCTTCGAAAATATCTGGGCTCGTCACAACAAAAATGTTGAAATTCTTGATTGAGGTTGTATTTTTCTTGCTTCGTTATACCCATCCCCGAGGGTCCGTAGGGCCCTATTTATGCTATAGGGAGGCGGACTTAAACAATACATGATGTATGGCAGTGGTAAGAAAAAAGGGAAATGTCAACAACAATGGTGTTGCATAATGTAATATGACAGGAACAGAAAGGAAAATCCTTCTTTCCTTTCCCCTGCAACCAACTAAGCATCCTAGAAATTCTAGATGGGTAGAAGATTTCGGGTTAGGGGACGACAATCAAATAGCCTAATGACGAAAACTGAGAAATAGCGACTTTAACGAAACGAGACGAAACAAAACAATCAGGAATATAATTTGCTTCCAACTGATACATGTTTTCCTTCCACGGATGCGCTATTCCAATTGGAATCTCTGAAACATCTACCCGAATGAGCGAGAACCAGCGTTCTAAGCATGCGAGCAAGTTCTGAGCATGTCGTTCATGTTCGAAGCATAACAAGCAGCATCCAAGATTTCCACCGAGAGGCAAGGGGGGAAGAAGGGATCAAAAGCGCAGCAACCCGGCAAGTATCGAAGAACCCTCCTCACAAACCTCCCGTATTACGGACTCGTGGCATGCCGGTTACAAGCATTTAAAACTGTGATGGATCAACTTGCAAATGTGTGGTGTAGCAGGATCTAATTTAATGAGCTGAATTCCTCCCACTCCCCACTCGCCCGAGGTGCCTCTTGTGCCATAGCTTTTCGTGCTAACTTGATGTATCTATTAACAGGGCAAACCCGGTTGGGGGTAACAAAAATCGCAAATTGCATCCTCATCCCTTGATCAATTAAAACAAAAAATATACCAAAAGATAGCTGACAATCTAGGGACTCTGAAATTTATATTTTTTTGACAAAGTCATTTGTTCCGTGAGCAGCTCTCAGTACTTGGTGTGACCTATCCTAAGATCTAACCTAACCACCAAGAATTTGTATGACCTCATACAAGATGATACTTGCTCCCAAAATCACCAGTTTCATATCACTATAGTTCACATAATACTGAACCATATGCTTCAAAATTTAAATCTCAGAATCAGAACGTCTAAAATCATTATTTCGGGAAGAATTGAACTACTTCCACCACAGGTGGTTGAATTATGGCGTAGCGAAAAACAGCATTTTTGGTGTAAAAGGGGCAATCAACGATGACCTTTATCACCGAACTGGTGCAAGGGTAGATCATGAATTCATGGTACAGAGCAGGGGTGGTTGTCTTCCGTGTCGAGGTAATCTCGGAACACTGGAAAAGCATACATCCCAACCCAAGGACATGAATGAGTGATGAAAAAGGTGAAAGGAAAAAAATAAAGTCAGAAACTGTTAGCTATGATTGGGATGTATTCGGTTCTTTAGTCTCTAGCTCTCTTGAGTTAAATAACTCCGATCTAAATGGCATTTCGGTACCTATATTGCAAACACTGAACTACTATTGAGCGGCTGATCCCTGCTCTATACGAGTACTTGTACCACGAATTGATGATCTACCCCTGTAATTGGGTTTCTAAATTTATTTATCATTAAAAGGGATGTCTTGTCGAGCATTCGTGGGCTGTGACCCTCAGTCACAACCTTGGCACAAGTATTGATTTGGACAGGTGCGCTTTCTCCCGCCAGCCTCATCCTAACTTAATCCTAATCAACGATTTTCACATCCATCGAGCTCCTCACCGAAACCCCCTTCCCTAACATTGTTTGCGAAATATCTCGCATTTTGTTTTACATCATACAATAGGTTTGATCCTCTCTATTGATGTACAAGAAGATCCCACTCATATCTGACGTCGGGTGTTGGCGTGTTGCAGGCCAATTAGACTCCCGGTTCAAGCGAAAAACCAATTGGGAAGATTGGAAAGAAGCTAAGAGGGGAAGAGCGGTAGAAATCAAAGAATAGGTGTATGAGCTGAGTAAGTGTGGCCCTTACACTGATAGGAATTTTTGGTTCTTTCAGCTATTGTTCCCGAGAGCAATCCCTAAAACTAACTGTATAGTACCAAAGGGCGGAGCTCTAGTAAGAATAATCCCCGAACTCGCTCAAGGCCTACTCAAGGCCTTTAGAGAAACAAGCCAGCAGTTACTTACACTCCAAATAGACAAGGAAATTCGCTTTCTGGACGACCGCAACGACAAGCTCAGCTCAAGCCAGGAGATCGATTCGCTAGAGGGAGTGCAGGGGAGACTTGAGCCGCAAAACCCGCATATCCAAATAGTAACCTAGAGGGTGTACGGTATTACAGATTGGAAATTATGCGGCGGTTTATGCGGGCGGGCGTGCAGAGGATACGGGGCCCGGATAATCCGAATAGATTAAGGGCCATCGATGACAAAGGCGTGGCGCGGCAAAAGCAGAGAAAGTACGGTGAAGCCGAGGTGATGCATCGACGTGCATTGGCTGGCAGAGAGAAAACTCTAGGGCTGGATCATCGAGATACCTTACAGAGTGTCAATAATCTCGGTACGACTCTGCATAGTCAAGGAAAGTACGAGGAAGCTGAGATTATGCATCGACGTGCATTGGCGGGCAGAGAGAAAACGCTCGGGCTCGACCATCAAGATACCTTACAGAGTGTCAATAATCTCGGTACAACTCTGCGTAGTCAAGACAAGTACGACGAAGCTGAGATCATGGATCGACGTGCATTGGCGGGTAGAGAGGAGTTGCTCGGGCTAGACCATCGAGACACTTTACAGAGTGTCAATAATCTTGGCATGACTCTGCGTAGTCAAGGAAAGTACGACGAAGCTGAGATCATGGATCGTCGTGCCTTGGCGGGTAGAGAAGAGGTACTCGGGCTAGACGATCAAGATACTTTACAGAGTGTCAATAATCTCGGTACGACTCTGCATAGTCAAGGAAAGTACAAGGAAGCTGAGATCATGGATCGTCGTGCATTGGCGGGTAGAGAGGAGTTGCTCGGGCTAGACGATCCAGATACCTTACAGAGTGTCAATAATCTCGGTGCGACTCTGCATAGTCAAGGAAAGTACAAGGAAGCTGAGATTATGCATCGACGTGCATTGGCCGGCGGAGAGAAAACTCTCGGGTTTGACCATCAAGACACCTTACAGAGTGCCGATAATCTTGGCGCGACTCTGCGTAATCAAGGAAAGCACGACGAAGCTGAGATCATGGATCGACGTGTATTGGCGGGCAGAGAGAAAGCGCTCGGGTTAGATCATCGATATACCTTACTGAGTGTCAACAATCTCGGTACGGCTTTGCGTAGTCAAGGAAAGTACGACGAAGCTGAGATCATGTATCGACGTGCACTGGCGGGTAGAGAGAAAACGCTCGGACTAGATCATCCAGATACCCTACAGAGTGTTCAAGATCTAGGTGTGGCCCTGTATCGCCAGGAAAAGTACGACGAGGCGGAGATCATGCACCGGCGTGCTTTTGCTGTCCTTGAGAAAACGCTCCGGGTGGATCACCTGGATAACTTGCATAGTGCCAGTACTCCAGGTGCGGCGTTGCACGATCAGAAAAAGAAAAGCGAAATGGAGATTATGCATCGAAATGCAGCAGCTGGGGGGAGCGCGCATAGATCACGTCGCCCGGACGCCCTCCTAGGTGTTGTTGGACTAGCTGTGACGCTTCTTGCTGCGAGAAAATATGAAGAAGCTGAGATCATGTATCGACAGGCCCTAAGGACTATGGAAAAGGCTCTTGGACCAGATCATCCAGATACCCTTGACACTATGAATACGCTCGGCGAAACGCTACTTGAGCTGGAAAAGTATGACCAAGCGGAGGCTATATGCCAACGCGCATTAGCGGGCAGAGGCAAATCTCTAGGAGGAGACCATCCAGCTACCCTTACAAGCGCCGATAACGTTGGTCGGACATTGTACCATCAGAGAAAGTACGAAGAAGCGGAGTTGATGTTTCGATCTACGCAGGCGGGCAGAAAAAAGGTCCTCGGACTATATCATCCAGATACCATACTGAGTGTTCTTCGCCTAGGTGTGACACTACTTGATCAGAAAAAGTATGGAGAAGCCGAGATCATGTATCGACATGCCCTTGAGGTTATGGAGAAAGCCCTGGGGCCCGATCATCCGGAAGTCCTTGACAGCATCAATACGTTAGGTGAGACGCTTCTGGATTTGAAAAAGTATAGCGAAGCGGAAGTTATGTGTCGACGTGCGCTGGTAGGCAGGGAGAAGACGCTTGGACCAGACCATCGGGATACCCTCATAAGTGTCAATAATCTTGGTTTGGCGCTGCGTAATCAGGATAAGCACCACGAAGCGGAGATCAGTTATCGACGTGCGGCGATGGGTGCCGAGAAGACGCTTGGGCTTGACCACCCAGACACCTTAATGTGCATATATAATCTGGCTGGGACGTTGCACAAACAGAGAAGGTACGACGAGGCGGAGGTAATGTATCGGCGTGTGCTGGGAAGACGAGAGGGGGTTTTGGGGCTGGGTCATCGACACACTATTCGTAGCCTGATTAAGCTAGGCACGGTACTCTATGAGAATGGAAAGTACAAGGAAGCGGAGATTATGTATCGACTTGCAGTTACTAGGGCGGAGAGATATGGGGCCGGGCCATCCTTCGACTCGAAAACCTTTTAATTACCCCTCGACGTTTCTTTATGCTCGGACGACAAGTGCCTTGGACGCAGCATATTGGCGAAGATGAAGGCTTTGGGCTTACTCAGGGATCAAATCATGTTGCCTGTTATTTCATGCATCTTAATCTTTTAAATTTCTTTTTCCCCCAGCGTTTCCAGCTGTTATAACGTCTAGTTCTTTTTGGTGGTGGAGATGTTGGGTGATCTAACTTTGCGATAGGAGTTAATTTAGCTTTGTAATCTAAGATCTAGTAATTTATTCCTTCCATGTGATCAAGACCCTTCTTCATTATAACAGGTCCACTGATAACCCAACGGACCTGCTAGAGCCAATAGTACCTGCGGTTCCTTTTCACATCACCCATCCCCGCAAGTAGAGGCTGTGGTGTACATGGGTAGGGTTGTGCTCCCGCTTGGTCACGAATCAGCGCCAACCATATGAACAAGTTTTCTGCGACATCCGCTGTTCCCCCAGTGGACTCAAGCACATTCTGCATCTTGCCGCAGAAGGGAATCAAACTTCCAGAAAAGTGTGCTAGGGAGGTCGAGAGTAAGCGCAGACATCGCGATCAAAGCATCAAGGCACGCCCGATGTTCTGCACAATCTAGAACCGAAGACATTAGTGACCAAGCGTATCCAGAGGCCACAACATGAGTTCTTACCCAGAGGGATACACATATCAACACGAGAGGCCACTAAGGAGCGGGACATATACCTTGCGTTCCGCAAGTCAACTACAGGACGCCATTCCCTCAGGGTCGATAATTCAATCCACCCCCTCCCATTAACCTGCGATACTAGCCTTTCCCTGCCTCCCAGGGAACAAGGAAGATATCGGATCGCTTTATAGGAGCTCTTGGACCCATTCCGCTGCCGAAGGGAGGACCAGTTCTGTGCACAAATTCCTTGCTTGGATAGATAATGTAGCTTTCTTCCTCCAAACCTGCAACCCCCGGAATTCCCTGCACAAAACGAGACTTTATAGATGTGATCACCGGAGCTCACTCGGAGAGCCCACCGGGTGTGTTGTGTTCTTCCCTGCGCTTGAGATACGTTTGTGGCTGGTACAGACACTCGGCAGCCGTGATCGCGATCTTAGACCCGTTTAATTGCGATTGCGCAATGGGGGTCCTAGCGGTGGGGAGGATGGTGGGATTGTGTGAGATTAAAATGGTCGGCAAGTACTCTTCGAGAATTCTGGTCATAGTTGAGCAGCGACTAGTAACAATTTTATATAAGGTCTAAACTGGGGATAATGTAGTGGATAAAAGGCACGTTGCATGAGCCGGCGGTCCTATGGCTCTTGATAGACGGCTCACCTTTCCTATCAGTGATTCTACCTCACTGGCCTATCGCGGATCTCTCAGGCGCGGCCGAAAAGCACAGCATAGCACAGAATCCCGGCCTAGCGCCTTTGCAAAGATATGGCTCCGCTGTTCCTGACAAACATTTCTGAAATTGTCGCGGTCCAATTTTGCGCGACGTGAGCTATGCCCCCATATATCTCCCAACGATGGGACAATTATGGCACCAGCACAGTTGTGATGTTTGCCTTCGCACTGGAATAGGTACAGAATCTTGGACAACGAATATACTTTCTACGTGAGCAGGGTTGTGCATTTTGAAACTCCCATCCGATCGGAAAAAACATCCGGAGTGCAGGTCAGAGAGGTAACTTATATTTTGATCTATCTTTTACAGATCCCGAAAAATTGTCCGGGGTAGCGAAAAATTAGGGAGACCGAAATCCGGGATCACGGGGGGTAATTGTGCGATGTTGCTGAAGGTCGTGGAGTGATAGGGGCTCACACACCCGGACAAGAAAACTCGTATGATATCGTGGCCATGGTATCTTACTGCCCAAGGCCACCCAATAATTTGAGAAGCTAAGACAATCTTCTGGAAGCATTGTCGTGGAGAAAGTCCCCTCTTAGTTGTCGGTCATTTCTTTCGTGAATAGTTTTGGCCTTTCTTTCCCTCCTGGATACCTCATATTTCGGGTCGATTGACCGTTTGGAGGGAAAGAGCAAGGACGAAAGTGGATTGATCGACCGGGACACTATCAGAATCGCCCTGGGGCGTAAAAAAGGTGTCACCATAAACTTCACGGGTGGGCATTTCCGCCCGGCAGCTCGGCGATTTGAGACTTGTTTCCAGAACACCTCCGCCGAGCGGCCCCATGATACGCATTTCTGGGTTCTTTGGCGCCTATTGCTTGGTGTTCCTGGATATGGGCGGCTTTTTCCGGGATGGTAAATTGGCTACTTAAGCCCTTTCTAGACCTACTATTGGCTTTCTACACCGGGTGTTGGCACTTGTGTTTTGTGTATCGTGCGCAGCCGTATACTATCCCCAGGCTTTACCGCCTTCTATCGTATCCCCCCTTCTTTTCCAGAGAGTCTCTAATAACTTGATTTGCTTTGAGAAGCTACGATATAGGCTAACCTAGGATTTTCGGGTCACTATGGAATTTAAGAATTTGGTTGATTGCTTCCCCATATCCCCCCGCATGGCTCTCCCGGCTCATACATGCTTGACTGGATGGGTTTCATTGGTAGGAGTGGCGCTTGTCCGGGTCTGGCTTTTGCAAAAGCGTTGTTGGTTCGTAGTATTTGGTGGATTATGTTGGGTCTTCACCGGGGCAAGTCCTGAAATGTGTGGTTGTGCTTACCGCAGAATGTCCGTTGGACTCTGGCATGCGTTAAATAATAGGAGGCAAATAGCGAGGTCTTGAAAGGGTTGTTCAATATCTCACCATTCCCTTTCCCCCGCAAACAACGGAACATCCTGGATATTCCGGATAGATAGAAGAGAAGAGGGGAAGAAGAGCTCGGAAGCGCAGCCAACTAGTAAGTATTAAATAACCCTCCTCCCGAGCCCTCCATATAATTGACACCCAGCATGTTCACTGGAACCATGTAAAGCTGTGATGGAGTCAACTCGCAAAAGATGTGATGTTGCAGAATCCGATTTAATGAGCCTAATTTCCCGTCACCCCCCAAGGCGCCTCTGGTGCCATAGCATCTTGCGTGCTAACTTGATTAAGTTCTTACCCAGCAATACGGATAACCAGAAGAGCGCCTAGCAGGCCAAGGACCGGACGGGCTAGTGATGGCCCGCTGCCAGACCGGGCCACCGGGGATACCGAAGAAATAGCTGTTGGAAAACGCGGAATCTGCTCGATATTCTCGGAGCCCTCTCAACATGCTCAAAATCTTTTCGACATTTTCCAAACATGTTCAGCATGCTCAGAGCCTACTCGTGCGCGCAGGATGTTCGTTTTGCTGGTTCGTTTGTTTGGATAAAGGTCTCGGGGATACGTTTTGGAGGAGTGCGCCAGTGGAACGGAAACATGTTCCCGGCGGAAGCAGGGCGGAAGTATCCCAGAGACAGAATGGTAACTGTCCGGAGGCGACGGATAGTGGGAGTCTTTGAGCAACCAGTTTTGCTTTTGATAGCATGGGCGTGTGCGGAGAGGGGGAAAACTTATTATATGTGGACAGTGTAGATCAGAATGGATATGTCGGGCGGGGGGGTGGAAGCTGGGAGGATATCTTTAGACTACCGTGCTTTGCCTATACCCCCGTCCACACCGCTAGCTAGCTAGTTACGGTCGCGCGTGAGAACGAGTTGTCGAGCGAGAGCGTTGAGAAGAGTACTCGTACCTCTCCTCTCCAAGTCACGTGCAGGCGATTAGAGTTTGGTTATCCTTACTAAGCATCGTCTCGTTTCATCCCCTTAGCATCACCGTTTCGCCCATAGTCGTTCGCAGTTCGTCATTCACGGTTCAACGTCGCGCCCTCTTTGTCTGTCTGATCGCCGTAGCCGGTTTTTCTTTTGCCGTGTTATCGGCATCGTCATTCCGCCGTTTCGCTGTTACGCCATTTCACCGCTTGATCGTGGTAGCCGTTTCACTGGTCGCTCCGCTACTCAAAGGGACGTTGACGTTTTCGTGTTCTCGCTGGGTCCAAAAGTCGCCGCCGTTTAAAAATAGCCCTGAGACAATACAGTCTCTCCTCTCGAACCAGCAAATAATCCATTCATATATGCCAGATCTTTAAACTACTTGTGTACAAGTACCAGTCTTGAATGGTGACGACCTTTGAAACGGCGGTGATTAGTAATGCAACACAAAAGACTCCGATCGCCAGAGGACAACTTTCCGGCAAATGGGGAAGTTCGCTTGTTCTCACTCCACCCTCTCCGTACTATCGCTCAATCTAACTATCTAAACGGGTCCCAGCAAAGGCATCCTCCTATCTTTCCATCAATCACCGCACATATCCACTCTCGTGCGCGCAAATCTCCCTTGCCTCTGCGTACTCCGATTCTAACAAAAGAATTGTAGGCTTCATCGAGACTCGCACTGCTCGTAGCCTCCGCTTTGATCGGCCCCTTTGACTCTCCCGTAGCCTACTGTTTCCGACTGATGCATTATTTCCCCCCATGGGTGCGTTAATCTAAAGTACATTTCCGAAACATTTATCCGAACAAATAAAACAACATCCTGAGCACGCCGAGCAGCATCCATGATTTCCAACAACTAGGACCATCAGCGACTACCAAAATCCGGGTAGGACTCTCGCGTGACTGATTACCACCTCGGCACAGTACGCCATCCACCATCCTTAAATTCAATGGGTCCAATTCCTAATAGTTCTCTGAAACGCGGATCATGCCCTCCGTACCGCTGGAGGTACGTATCTACTGGACGGCCTACTGTCTGTTATCGGTATTCTGCATCATCCTTCCAACACAGAAACCCACAAAACTGCATTCTCGGTGACCTGCTGTACCCGGAGAGATTTAGAATGAAAGTACCACCTTCAAGCACTGATTCCAGGTTTATCAATAGTTAGTTTGAATTAACCCCCGTTCTTAGACCTCTATCCATAGATTCTTGCTTCGGTGCGGTGGCCGTGGTGTATGCTTAATAATTCGTCTGGCTAGTGTACTAGATATGACCAAGTTACCCCGCAATCTATGGCCCCCCCTTTTTTTTTTGCAAGCGTAATGTTGTTCTCTAGATTGTCGTTTCTTAATGTACATTGTGAGTCTGATATACTGTGCGGGTATTTGGAACCGGTAGCCGACCAATTGTAGACTTCATAACCCACCACAGTACCCAGTTGTGGGATACTGGTAGTCGTAGTCGCCGATGTTCATTAGTAAAAAGATCCCCGCACTTCAAGAGGCGGTACTGCCGCGCTAAAAACCGGGTACTTCCGTCATGGCTTGCCGCGGGTTGAACAGAGCTACTAGTACTTGAGCGCGGTAGGTAGCCTGCCGTATCAGAAGAATAATTTAAGCGGAGAACCACTCTACTAAGGAGGTTCTATTGCGTGTGAACTCGGGCTCGCCGCATTATGTTGCAAGCTGACTGGCCTGTGCTTGGAGGAAAAGAGGCTCTGCAGGGTTGGAGAAATATTCAGCACATGTGATAGCCGGTAGCTTTATTGCCATCCAGAGATATTTATTCGCCTACTGCTAGCTTGGAAAGCTTAGGTTCACACCATTTCATGAACTACTCGTACAGGACAAGTACAGGACAAGTTCAACTTTAAATTTGCGGTAGCTCGGTTCCTAGTCAGGACTCGAATTGCTGTAGACTAGCTTGCCTTCTCGACCGTATTTGGGTAATCAAAGACTGCTGCTGTGGCAACAAGGGTGGTTCACGTAGACTGACGGAACTTCCCTATTGGTTTCGATTGGTGCGCTTTACCCCTCAGCCTCAGCCCCACGTGTCGAGCAGTTTAGCCTGATCCTAATCCACGATTTTCATATCCATCGAGCTTCTTACCGGAACACTCTCCCCTCCGATTATTGTTTGCGAAATATCTCGGATTCTGCTTTACATCATACCGTAGGTTCTGTCCTCGCTATCGATGCAAATCCCACGCATATCTGACGTTGGGTGTTCGCGCGTTGCATGCCGATTACTCGAGTAGACTCTCGGTTCAAGTGGAAAACTATCAGGCTGGTTGGAGAGAAGCAGAGAAAGGAAACAGAACGATTCAAGTCAAAGAATAAGTGTACGACCTAGGTAAGTGTAGCCCTTGCGCTGAGAGTAATCTTGGGTTCTATCCAGTGTTCTCAGGAACAATCGCTAAAAACTAACCCTTTGTAGTACCAAACGTCAAAGATCTAGCAAGAGTAATTCCCGATCGCGCTCAGGGTCTACTCAAGTGGCCCAGAGAGACAAGCCAACGGTGACACCTAATAGTTAGGGGATTTGGCTTTTGTGACGACCGCAACGACAAGTTTAGTTCAAGCCAAGGGTTCGATTCACGCGTCATAGCAGAGGGGAGACTTGTGCCGCGATCGCATATCCAAGTGATAGCTGGGGGTCATACCGCAGATTGGAAATCATGCGCCTGTTTATGCCGCAGGGCGTGCGGAGCGCGCGGAGAGTGGGCCGTCTGAATGGCTTAAGGAGCATCAATGACGAGGGTGTGGCACTGCGCCATCGGGGGGGAATAACGAAACTGAGATCAAGGATCGGCGTACATTGGGAGAAGGAGAGGAAACACTAGGGCTAGACCATCGAGATACCTTACATAGTGTCAACAACCTCGGCACAACTCTGCATAGTCAAGGAAAGCACAGCGAAGCTGAGATCATGTATCAGCCTGCATTGATCGGCGGGGGGAAAACTCATGGGCCAGATCATCCAGATACCTTACAGAGCGTCAACAATATCGGTACGGCCCTGCATAGTCAAGGAGAGTACGACGAAGCTGAGATTATGTATCGACGGGCAGTGGCGGGCAGAGAGAAAATGCTCGGGCTATATCATCAAGATACCTTACAGAGTGTCAGCAATCTCGGGACCACTCTGCATAGTCAAGGAAAGTACGACGAAGCTGAGATCATGGATCGTCGTGCATTGGCGGGTAGAGAGAGAACGCTCGGGCCGGATCACCGAGATACCTTATTGAGTGTCGGCAATCTCGGAACCACTCTGCATAGTTAAGGAAAGTGCGATGAAGCTGAGATTATGCATCGACGTGCATTGGCGGGTAGAGAGAAAACGCTCGGAGTTGACCATCGAGATACCTTATTGAGTGTCAACAATCTCGGTACGGCTCTGTATAGTCAAGGAAAGCACAACGAAGCTGAGATTATGTATCGGCGGGTATTGGTGGGAAGAGAGAAAACGCTCGGAGTCGACCATCGAGATACCCTATTGAGTGTCGGCAATCTCGGAACCACTCTCCATAGTCAAGGAAAGTGGGATGAAGCTGAGATTATGCATCGATGCGCATTGGCGGGCAGAGAGAAAGCGCTCGGAATCGACCATCGAGATGCATTACAGAGTGTCAACAATCTCGGTACCACTCTGCGTAGTCAAGGAAGGTACGGCGAAGCTGAGATTATGTACCTACTTGCATTGGCGGGCAGAGAGAAAGCTCTGGGGCTAGATCATCCAGATACTTTACAGAGTGTTAGGGCTCTAGCTGTGGCTCTGTATCTTCAGGAAAAGTATGTCGAAGTGGAGATCATGCATCGACGAGCCTTTGCGGTCCAGGAGAAAACACTCGGGGTAGATCATCGAGATAGCTTACATAGTGCCAATAATCTGGGTACAGTGCTGCAAGATCAGAACAATAACACCGGAGTGCAAATTGTTCACCCGCGTGCGGCAGCAGGTGGAGAGAAAGCGATTGGATCACATCGCCCAGACGTCCCACGTGGTGTTTTTCGACTAGCCATTTCGCTTCTTGCCGAGAGAAAGTACGAAGAAGCTGAGATCATGTATCGACATGGCCTAGGGGCTGTGGAAAAGGTTCTAGGGCCAGATCATCCAGATCTCCTCACCAGGCTAAATACGCCCGGCGAAACGCTGTTTGATGTGGAACGGTATGAAGAAGCGGAAGCTATTTGTCGACGTGCATTGGCGGGTAGGGGAAAAGCTCTAGGGGTGGATCATCTAGCTACTCTTACAAGCGCTGATAACCTTGGCCGGACACCTTATCACCAGAGAAAGCACGAAGATGCGGAGATAATGCTCCTGTCTACGCAGGCTGGCAGAACAAGAGCGCTTGGACCATATCACCCAGATACCCTGCTGAGCTCCCTTCGCCTAGGTGTAGCGCTGCTTGATCAGAAAAAGTATGGAGAAGCTGAGATTATTTATCGACATGCCCTTGGGCCCGATCATCCAGAAGTCCTTGACACTATGAATACGTTGGGCGAGACACTGCTGGATTTGAAAAAGTATAGCGAAGCGGAAGCTATGTGTCGACGTGCGCTCGTGGGTAGAGAGAAGACGCTTGGACCAGATCATCGAGATACCCTACTAAGTGTCAATAATCTTGGTGTGGTACTGCGTAAGCAAAATAAGCACCACGAAGCGGTGATTAGTTACCGACGTGCATTGATGGGGGCGGAGAAGACACTTGGGCTTGAATACCGAGATACCCTGATGTGCGCCTATAATCTGGCTGGGGCGTTGCACAAGCAAGGAAAGTATGATGAGGCGGAGATGATGCATCGGCGTGCGCTGGCAGGACGAGAGAAGATTCTGGGGCGAGGTCATCGATATACCCCTCGTAGCCTCATCAAGCTGGGCACAGTACTGTACCAGAAGAGGAAATACGGTGAAGCGGAAGTTATTTATCGACGTGCAGTTATGGAGGCAGAGCGAGCTCTAGGGCCAAGCCACCCTCTGACCCTGAAATCCTTTAGCCATCTCTCGGTGTTTCTCGACGGCCGGACATGGGTACCTTGGACGAAGTATCATGACGCAGATCAAGTGTTTTGGTTTGCTTAGGGATGAGATTATATTGACTATTTTTTCATTCATCTTAGGACCTTTTCGGCGTGTCGGCATGTCGCCGTGTTTTTTACGATAATATTTTTGAAAATAGCACCTTTGTTGCTGGGTAGTGCTAGAAGCAGGGCTTGTAGGGTGGTGCGATAGATGGCGTAAGGGCAATGTAGTGGATCATAGAAGATACCGTGCTATTGGAGGAAATATCTCGAGTGCTAGAGTCTTAGTGTTGCCTTTCTTTTGTTGTGATGGATCTTGAAGAATTTTCTTTCCTTTGTGTTTGTAGGTGCTGCATGGAGGAGCTATAATTCCTGTAGGGAGGGGGACATGGTTTTGGAGTTTCTTATCTTTTATGATACTACAACCGGTTCTATCTTTCTCGCACATGTTAGGTAGAGAATGAATCTCATATAAGAAACCTAACGTAATATCATCATTCTCTCTTATCTCATCATCTCTCATCCACACACACTCTTGGCTGCTCACACTTAATACCACTGACAATATTTCCTGATACCGAAACCAAGCTAACTCCGAAGAAAAAGCTAATCTCAAGCCTCGACTTCAAGTCCGAATCCTACTCTAATCCTAGCATACCCAATGGGCCCTCCGCGTGATGTAGTAGATGCTGCTCCACTTATTTTGTGCGAATACAAAGGAAACGCGACGCCTGTAGCTTGAGGAGCAAGGAGAATTGTGATGTTGCGAAATATGACGGGGCAATAGGAAGAATATTTTGAATCACAATTTCCCCCACCCCTCAACCTTGGGACCTCCGGCTGTGCTTTTCTTTGCGGAGAATAAGTAGAGGAGTATCATACCTGCCATATGGCTGTGATATGCATTTCTTCTTTGGAAATTGGGTATTAGGAAACATGCTGTTCCCGATTATTATTTTTAGAAAATATCTGGCTGTTATAACGTCTGGCTGGTTTCTTGGCAGAGTTATTGGATATTTTAATTTTTTGATTGGAGTCAAATTAGCTTCATAACCAGGGATCCGGTGATTTGTTCCATTGGATTGAGACACTTGTCCATTTTGGCCGCACCGCTGATATATAATACCAACGGATCAGCTAGGGCCAATTGCTCTTAAGGTTTCTTTTCACAACATCTATCCTTGTGAGCTAGAGGTTGTGGAGCACGTTGGTAGAGTGGTACTGTGGGGGAGAATTTTGAATCACATCTCGCCCGAACTGGACAACTCTGCTGTATCATGGTGAAAATTTTTAGGGTTTTGTTTAGGTTGATTTCTCGGAAAGTCTCGTTCGAGGGGTGAGTGAGGAAAGTTTTTCCTGTATCATACATA